AGTAAAAAAAAGAAAAAAAAAAAAAAAAAAAAAACAAAAAAAAACAACAAAAAAAAAATCAGGCAAAATTCCACTTTGGCCTGAAGAGAAACCATACTGCCAGCATACTGCAGAAGTATGTCCAGGTAGTCCCAGATTCTTAAATAAGGGTTTATGGAGCACCTACTACGTGCAATCTTGAACATTAAAATTCGTTCAAATACTAAAATCGAAACGTAAAGCCATACAATAAATATGGCACTGCAAATTTCATCAAGATGGAGGATGAGTCGAGTACCTAGGGTCTGACAATAAGAAATCTGATGTAGAATCCAGATCTATCTTAGCTCTAGACAGCAAACCCATTATCATCTACAGTAATTTTATGCAATGAATAGAGGCTGGAAAAATTCATTTATGAGACACATGGCCTTTCATTTTGAAGCCAAGCCTCTTTCTCAGTGACTTTTCTTCCATGGATGCTCTTCTGCTTCTTGCTTTTTGTTTCAATGCATGCTAAATCAACAGGACTAACATTATTCCTTAAATGGCTCCAGGTTTACTGTCCATGCTGGAGTATTTTATTACTGATGCATAGACTTTTTTCATTTCTGAATTTTACTTTAGTACTGTTCCTTATTATTTTGTGGTTGGAAAAAAATGAAGTCACTATAATTTTCTGCTTATACATCAAAATGCCTATTTTCATCTGATATTTGGTATTTCAAAAATAAAACTTCATATTAAAGAGATTACAAAATTAAGGTCTAAATTTGCCACAATTAAGAAAAACATGATTATTAAAATCCTACATTAAATTCTTAGTGATCGTATTATAGAATGTGGCCAGTTATTAAGTTCTACGTATTTAGTTGTTTGTTGCTTAGTAGGTAACCAAATTAATATTAGATCTTTATTTACATGTATAAGACAAAGTGAAAAGAACCCATGAGGTTACTGCACATGTCCACTTTTAACTTGGTATATTTATATCATGTCCTCAAATATCCCATGAAGTTAGCAACATTATCTATTTGTATAAGAAAAAATAAACATTAAAGTCTAAAACAAAACTTTTATGACTCTCCAATGACCATATCTTCAAGCTATTCACCTTGATTTTCCCATAATACTTTGTATTGCAGCTTTCAGCTAACTAAAATGGTAGTCACATGTATTTTTTTTTTAAACAATCTTCATTATTGATTCATTTCTCAGAAAAGCCAATTCAGGTGGTATGTACAGTTAAACCCCTATGACTTCTTACTGAATTACTCTTCAAATTCAACATTTCATCCTTCCTTTGTTGAATATAAAGACATTAATGCATTTTTAAAATTTAAAAATTGTTTAAACAGGCCGGGAGTGGTAGCTCATGTCTGTAATCCCAACACTTTGGGAGGCCGAGGTGGCTGGATCACGAGGTCAGGAGCTCAAGACCAGCCTGGCCAACATGGTGAAACCCTGTCTTTACTAAAAATACAAAAATTAGTTGGGCTTGCTGGCGGGAGCCTGTTAATCCCAGCTACTCGGGAGGGTGAGGCAGGAGAATTGCTTGAACAGGGAAGGTGAAAGTTGCAGTGAGTTGAGACCACGCCATTGCACTCCAGCCTGGGTGACAGAGCAAGACTTGGTCTCAAAAAAAATTAAAAAAAAAAAAAAAAATTGTTTAAAACAGACGACATATATCTGAGCATATGACTATTTTGTCCTTACTTACAATTAGAAATACCATAAACATCTACCAACCCTATTTGCTATCAACAAGCTTTTATCTACAAATATTTTACATTTTATGTAAGTTGAATACAAGTTCTGAGAAAGGGCTCACTGCCAGGTAATAAATACAGAACAGGAAATAGCTTTGAAATAAAATGGATGGATTGTCATCAAGTAGAACCTAGTGAACCAAACTTCAGATGATTTGAAATTCCTTGTACATGCTTACACTGTAAGTCTGGTTGCTCCGAGTGGCATGCAATGCTGCTCTAATCTACTGCAACATCTAAACATGGCATTCTAACAACCAATCTGAAAAAGTACCTTTAGTGGTTAATTCTGTCTGCTAATTCATTTCTCTACAACCTAGAGAATATGTTGTAGTGTTCATAATATTCTTTCCTCAAAGATGTGTAATTTGTAATAATTTAAAATATATATTTAGACAGATTTGCTTGATAATTTGGTGCAGGTTCTAAATGGCACTTTGAATTCCATGAAAGTCTCAATCAAATCATTTTCCAGAAAGTTATCTTTAATGTCTATGCTAAATAAATAACACACACAGGACAAAATCATCATAGGTTTTTATCCAATTAAAAAAGGTGAAGAGGTACATCTACTATTCCAAATTCCAAAATCAAGCATCTATATATAAGAAATCACCTTGATTAATTTTTTTCAAGATTAATAAATGCCAAATCTATATTGGACAAAACAGACACAAATGTATTTGTGCAAATTATCTTTAAAAACATAGTATGGCTTCAAAGTTATCAATTATTTCCACATCATAACACATGAACATACTTTAGTCATTATTCTGCCTTAGCCATTGTTCTTAGTTCAAGTGAACACATGGTACACCTATAGGCAATATAAACCAAATTACTCTGCCCCAAATAAAAATAGGGAATTAGGATGCTATTGAAGCAAATTAATTTCTAGGGATTTTGGCAAGGACAATAAACATTAATAGAATTCCAGGCATAAGATTTGCAGGGTTTATTTCTACCCTTTACAAGCTAGAAATTTATTTATTTTAGAAGCCTTATCTGACTTGGAGGAAGTAGGCACAACTTGCTCCATTCTTCCTATCATACAAAAATATGTAATTTTCAAAAATTAACTTATTACAAATCCAGTCAACAATTTCTTTAGAAAGGTAAAGTCTAACCTCTGCTTTGAGAGATCACAATGAAATTAAAGTTTAAAAACTGCCATCATTAAGAAAAAGAAGTAACTGAACCCGGGAGGAGGAGGTTGCAGTGAGCTGACACTGTGCCACTGCACTCCAGCCTGGGCAATGGCAATCATCCTGAGCTACAACTAACATGTAGATTATCCTGCAAGTCATACCAACAACTGCTCACTTTATTTACATTAATGACATGTATAACATTTACTAATTACAGGTCTACAGGTTTACTTGTTGGTAGTAATCGAGTTTTCCCAATAGGATGTTTTGGAGAACCTTTGTACCAGACCCTTTCTCTTTCTGATGGTCTCCTAAGGACATTGTTATTTATCCCAGAAGAAATGCCCATATTGTTATTTACAACTGGTTTTAATATATCATGATTAGTCAGATCATCCAAGGGAAGCTTAACGTGGCCATCAGATAACATCTTCTGTTTACAAACTGTAGTAGACCCAAGAGAAGCATTCAACGAATCTGGGTGCTTCATCTTTAAGAAAGATTTCGAAGGTAACTCTATATTTGACTTTAAAATTGTATCAATATTTGACTCTTCACATGACAGGGACTTCTGTTCTTTAGGACCTGATCTGATACATGTAACAGAGGAATCTTTTGATGTGCTTTCCATACAAGAGGAAAGAGCACCATCACAGCTCACTGATTTGACCAAAGGAGAAGCTGTATCACCAAGACTCGCCAATTTATGCCTTATAGGTTGTCTGCTATACTCCAACAAAGAATTAATTCTTCTGACAGACTGACGAACGGGAGTACGCTGAAACTTAAGAGGTGACTTGACTTTTGTTGTATTTGGTTCATTTAAAGAAAGCTTGTTAAACCACTGTATGTGATCGGACACCTTTCTATGTTCGGTCATTTG